TATTGCGTTCCTTCCATGCACTGATCATCTCTCTCTCTCCAGTCTTAGGCTTGAGGACAAAAACTAGTTATCCACTTGCTTTGCACAAACATGTCGAAATCACCCGTAACAATAGCAGTCGTTAACCAACTATTCTTAGAGTAGCTGACCACTAAGAGAGTTTTAAAACTTTATTTGATTATATGTCAAGAAATCAAATTTCTTAACCTGCATTCTAAAAATTCAGAACTTTCTAAAATGTTTCGTCAGCGGATGCGTAGGCACCCGTTTGGATCGGTGGTGATTCAGTCCCTCTAAATCTCCCTTTTGACCCCGTTAAATCACTCCCCTCCCTATAATATAGCGAACGAATAAGCCTATCGTGTCCGAAAAAAAATAACAGTCATTAATCCTCATAAAATTATCCAAACACGTCCCTTGTTTTTTGAAAAACAAACAATCCCCCTCCCTTTCTGCCCTTCCAAGTTATGAAGTTCGAGTTCTCCCTTTTATAAAAAACTTCTATTTGCTTTGGTTTAGTTGAGATCAAAGAATTAAGGGTCTTAATTAACGTCTGTCTCTAATTCATCTATCAAATTTTGGAATTAACTGATGACCTAGTGACTAATAATATTATCTACATCCTATTGAAATTTGAAACTGCCTGATCTTCAACATGGCACAAAAATCACAAGAATATCAGGAAAAAAGTTTGTCCAACTTTAGCAGGCTAGAATTTATACGCAAGGACAAAATTTTGGATAAGCCTGGTGGACTCGTGACCGACGCACGCGACAAGCGGTGGTCCAATTCCATCCTGCTTTTACTCGTATGTTAACAAAAAAAAAAAAATCTCATTTCATTAGGCTCTGCAACATGAATGTTGACAAGTTCACTGAACTTGAAGGCCAAAAATAAAAATATCGACCGGTTCGATTTGATTGAGTGCAACAGAATCGCTGTACACCATGTTTTTCTAGGATAGGGATCAGATGGCATCTCAACTTCACTGGCTAAGAGTTCAAATACTTGGGAGGGATGTTTTTCTAACATCTCACCATATATGAGATATCGCTATTGCCTCTTCTTGACATGCAAGTTGCTTTCATGCCCAGCTTAGGAAAACAAACTTGATCCGCCAATTAAGGTCGTCAGTGCCTTTCCCAGTGATAAATGATGGAGAAAAGAAAAACGAAATTTATGGGATTTGAACCCCTTGTGATGACTCTGTAGTCAGAGGTGCAGACGATTTTCGAACTTAAATGAACTAATAACGAGTTTGCTCGGTCAAAAATCAAAATACAAGCACTCAAACTGTCAAACAACTTGAAGAGGTCGAGTCCACGTTGATAGAGCTCGAGTTCGAATTTAAATAATTCGAACAGCTTGAAGATTCAAATCCAAGCCTAATACGTGATATTCGAAAACTCATCGAGTTTAATCAATCTTCAAATTCATATATACTTTTGTTTGGGGGTTTTCTTATTTGTCAGTGTCAAATGTCTGTACCTTTTTTTATTTCTATTTCTATAATTCCATATCTAAAATTATATAAAATCTTAATTTATATCAAGTTTTTTCACCCGAATACAGGTCGATAATAAACTAGTTGAGTTCAACCCGTCTCAATTGTAGTGTAAAAATAGAATCTAAGTCATGGCTGTCCAGTTGGCAGGTAGGAAAAAGTTTTGTTGGGCAACTACATAGTCAAATACCAAACAATCACACAATGCCAAACTTGATTTGTCAACTAATTAAACTAAATTTTTTTAAAAAAAAACTGACGTTTTACGAATTTCTCAAACTTGACTCAGGCTCAACTTTACAAACCACAAAGTCAATAATTAATACCACAAAAGAAATTTAGCTTTGACATTGGTTTAGTTTGATAAAACTTTATTTGAGCTTAAAACCATAATAGCTGTCAAGCAAAAAAAAAAAAATTTTTTTTTGCCTAAAGGAAAAAAAATTATACTCTAAGTGACATACTCCTTACACAACAGACACAAACTAAAAGACAGCCCCTCTAAAATGCTCCCATATTCACGTCTAAAGTTTTGACATGTCGTGTTTTCAAAATTGCTCTTTGTAGGTGAATTCGAAAAAAAAAAATCAAGATTATTTAGAAGTCAAATAAATTCTGAATCCTATGTTGTTGAAATCAACTCATTTCTTTCACATCTCTAAGTAAAAAGAAAATTTTTTTTTTTGTCATAGTCGTTTAAAAATGTTCGAATCCACTCTCTTTTTTTTTTTTTTTGGGTGTGTGCCTATGTTTCGATTTTGTTTTTCTCATTCCATATATTATTTGAAATTGTAGAACTATCTAGCTGACTCTGAATGGCCGATGGCAAGACTTCGTTGCCGTGTGCTGACGGGCTTCTTGTAGAATTTGGAAATATTAGCGGCAGCCCATTATTTTCAAACACTGGGCCAGTTGTCTCGTTCACTTTCAATCTCGTTTGCACTCCAGTTTGACATACTAGCCTGTGGATCGACAAGACAAAATCTTCCACAAGCCTAATTTACAGCCAGACAATAATTTATTTATCTTGGGGTGTTTAAAAAAAAAAAAAAAAGGAGCAAAGCAACTTGCTTTGCCATTTCGCCTAAAAGCAAAAGTGTTTTGTAAATTACACATTGTGATATCCTCACTCCTCCTGAGAAAGATCTTTTTTTTTTAAAAAAAAAAAAGTTCAAGATAATAAAATGAATAAGTTAGAATTTGAATATTCATTCCAAGGAAATCTTTATCATAGTTACTCGCTCGTCATTTATGAATGAACTAATAAGTGGTAGATATGAGGAAGGGTGGAAGGATATATAAACTAGTTTGACTATCGAATTGTAGAAAAGTTGGCTCGAAATATCACTTAATCGATGGAAATGACAAAAAAAAAAAAATCCATCCATTTGATATTTATTTTCAAATTGGCAAATATTTGTCGCTCCATGGAAAGATTTAGCTCAGAATTATCTGGTCAATGAATTGACAATCTCAGCTGACAATGAAGATTTTGTTGATTGCCCTGATAATGAGCTTCATTTTTTTTCCCAAAAAAAAAAAAAAACATAGCCCAAAATGAAGTCCAGCCCAACAGAAGATGTACAAGACCAATAAGCAAGTCAGACATGCCAGAAGAAATTCCAGTAACCGAGCGTTAGGAAAATGTTAAACATGTTTTCCTCCCATATATTATCCAAAAAAAAAAAAAAAAAGTTTTTCCCCCTAAAAATAAAAGAAAAAATGAAAAAAGAAAAATGGTCAAGTGAATCGACCCATGCAGCAGCAGCAGCAGTTACTTTCCAGCTCTGTTTTCAGACTCGGACCGGACCGGCCGGTCGAACCGGTCGAACCGGAAACCGGCCAGGTAGCCGGTCCGAGTCACATTAGAAAACCGGAAATTTAAAATCCGGTCAAAGCCGGTCAAAAACCGGGTTTGACCGGGTTTGACCGGGAAAAAACCGGTTTTTCCGGTTCAACAGTAATTTTTTTTTAAAAAAATTCAAACTTTTTAATATTATGTTTTGACCCCCTAAATTGTTAAAACTTATTGATATAGCTCAAATATTTGATACTTTATAAATATTGTCCTAAAATTTGATGTTATTTTTCAATTAAATTCATAATTTTAATTCTAAACTTGTTAATATTTATTAAATAATATAAATTGCTACTTGATTGTTCTAATTTCTTTGTATTTTCTTGTTAAATATATTTGAAACATCAAATATATATGAATATGTCTTTATTAATATCAATATATTATTAGATATTATATATATAATATTTTAATTTTTAAATAATTTTTATTTATGACGTCATCCGGTTCGACCCCTATCGACCCCCGGTCGAACCCATTGACCCCTGACCCCTGACCTCGGCCGAGTCGCTATCCGGTCCGGTTCTGAAAACATAGCTTTCCAGTTTCCTCCTCCTCCGGTTTTTCTTTCTCCCTCCATTCACGCCAACGCTATGGCTGACATTGCCGTGGGAATTGTGGTCAACTACAGGTGGGAACGGGCCGATTCTTTTATACTATCATTTATCAGTGGAAGTCCGAGTCTTCAGATTCGCACGAGGTTTGACCTCACAATTTGCAAGTTCGTGGATGTTCACACGTGGGAACAATTGTTGTTTGCTTCCGCTAAAATGAAAACAAAGAGTATCTCTGAAAATAGCCCAAACACAGTTGAATCAAATCAATTCATTCATGAAGAAGATGTTAACTTATTTTACTTCAAAATATAGTAGTCCCCCATCCTCCCTCCTCCCCCCCCCCCCCCCCCCCCCAAAAAAAAGAAAAGAAGAATACATTACAATTTATAAACAAAGATAAGTGAGTGTTGGATCGAAGATTATTTGAAATTTTTAGAAATATTTTTGTTAATTGTCTGATGATGTTATGCATGCGACATAAAAAAATGGTTAGACAAATGATTACAACATGTTCACATAATTTTGAAAAAAAATAATGTTTTTCAAATAATAATGTCAACTTAGAAAATGTTGTTGTTATTCGAATGCCAACACACTCACTTTGGTAAAACCATCCTAGGAAGACTATTCTAATTCTTTGTTTTCGTGTGTGTGTGTCTGTTGGTAATAGCGGCACAAGAAAAAAAAAACAAAATACTCCCTGAAGAACGGTAAAAGTAAAAGGGGGTAGCTAAAATTTCAACTGTCAGCCCATACCCTTTCAAACCTTAAAAGTTCCACGTCATTTACCATCCGACAAAAACAACATGTCGTAGCGTTTTACACTTTTTCTTGAAAGAAAAGAAGAAGAAAAAAAGAAGGCCTTTGGTTGGATAATCAATAATAATAGCTTTCGAGTCCGGGGGTAACTGTAACTATACAGTGCAGAGAATACAATAACGGTCAACAATATCCAAAAGTCTGGAGGAGCTGGAATGCATCACTTCACAGCCAGGAATCTGCACTAATAAATTGGGTTTAAAAAAATAATAATATTAAGCAGTGACGGCCATTTTGTTACATCATATTCACAGCAACTTTACCGTCTTAACCTCCCGAAGCCAAAAGACTGAACTACTGCTTCGCCAGCCAGCCAGCAAGCAAGCTAGGGCCGGTCTTTCTCATTTTTGCCTTTGATTTTTCCTTCTGATGAATATAGTCCAACCACCACTAAACATATAACACTTTAAAAAATCTCCACTTTTCCTCCTCTCAGCCGCCTTTACTCAGGTTTGCTTCATTCCTGACTTCAATTAATGCTTGACCATTGATTTCTCTCCCCGTCTGCTGCTTTATATACTAATTTATAACTCCTTTCTTTATAGTCGTTGGGGAACAAACAAGATTGGCGCTTCAACCTTTTGATGAAGTGAGATTGTGAATTTGAGCTGTTTTTGCAACTGGGAATTTGGTTTTTATGTGTTTGGTAAAGTTGTTGAGGAGAAATATTTTTCTTTCTGATTGGGTGGTCTTGTGATTGATGAATTGGTAATTAGTTCCTTGATCTGGGATTATTTTTGTTCTTCTATTTATTGAACTAAATTTGATAGGGAATTCGGCCTTTAAGGTTCTCATGATGCTGTGATAACTGAGTTCAGAATGTTCTGATTTTTTGGTTCTCTTGCATTAATATCTTTGCTTCTAACTCGGGGTTTGAGCTCTCCTCTTTCATAAAAATTGGATCTTTCTTAATTCAGTTTCTGTTTGGAGGTACCTTGGCACCAGAGTTCTTGGTGATGATCCATTGAAATTTTAAGTGCTTATGAATATTTCGGCTGGTTTGTCTGGAGCTGTTTCAGAATTTTGACTTCAGGGTATATGGTCTTTTCTAGTTTAAGATACAGCATATCTGCTTTTCTTCAGCTTCTGGATTAAATTCTAAAGACTGATTGGCTTGAGAACCGTGTTTTGAGAGGTTGCTTTAGCGTTGTTGAATCAAATTCTGCATATCATTTGAGTTTATAGCACACAACTACTCTTTCACCTTTGCCAGTTTGTTGTGTTCAAGTTGCTTCTGATTTCTTGGCTTGGCGTAGGAGTTGCAGCTGAGTTTATCCCTTGTGGAGCCTTGAGATTTAGCAATGCTAACACCATTTCTTGGATTTGGAAGATGGAATTTGTGGGCCGTAGTACATCGCTGACCATCACAGTGGTAGTTTTGAGTTTATTGGTGTTGGTGCAGTTGCCAGGACTATCAGCTTCTGGTTTATTAATTGATTCGAATACTTGTGGAACATACCATATTGGCTATTCAGATGATCTTAAAGAGAGATTGTTCTACATTGATGGAAAATTAGTAGATAGAAATTTGTTTTGCAAAGCTCTCAAATTCTATCAAGAGAATCATTGCTTCATTAGGGGAAACGCTAGAAATCAACATTGCAGTTTGTACGATTCATTGGGTAAGATCCATTCACCTTATACCTGTCCTGAATGCTATTCTGTTGGACAAAATGTTATTTGAATTCTTAGTATATAGTCATGTTCGGTTAGTTTCACTTAGATGTTTACTTTCTATGAGAATGCACCCTTTTTCTTGTTTTGCAGATGAGCTGCCTTTCAGGGCAGGAAGAAAAATTTTGAAGGAAGGAGTAAGAGAAGAGTCGATGGAAGATCATTTTAAAACACAGCAAATGGAGGACAAAGAAGCCAAGTATGTCATATTAACCCCAAAAAACTTGGCCATGGCAGCACCTGGAGTTCTTCTTCTTTGCTGTGGCTTAGTTTGTCCTTGCTTTCGTGCAAGAAGAAAAGAAAGTTCTGTTCCTGTATTTGAGAAGGAACCAAATTCAAGTGAGTATTATTGTGTTCCTATTTGATCGCAAGATAATAAACAGAAGCAAAGATAGTAAAACGATTTCCCTTGTATTGATAGTCTTACGATAGATTCACTTCTTTTGATCTTTGTGGTTATTTACACTTTTAGTATTTTTTTTTTTTTTTGCAGTGGACTCAGTTTCCTCTTTAGAAATCAATTCAGTTCCCGAAAAAATTCCACCCAGTCCTTTACGGGTGCCACCTAGTCCTCTACGGGTGCCACCTAGTCCTTCTAGGTTTTCAATGTCACCAAAACTTGATAGAGTTGGATCTGTTCATCTAAATATGAGTCAAGTTGTGAGAGCTACCCAAAATTTCTCACCATCATTAAAAATAGGTGAAGGAGGTTTTGGAACGGTTTACAAAGCACAGCTACCTGATGGCCAGGTTGTTGCCATTAAACGTGCTAAGCAGGTAACTGACTGCATCAAAACTCGATCTAGAGTTTGAAATAATTTACAATATCTTATATTTCCATCTGCAATGTGGACTTTGCATAATAATATGGTGTGAGACCAAATACATTTCTCCATTTTTTTGATACTCCAGGATGATAAAACACTATCCCTTTCACTCTTTTAGTTAGCAGTTTATATGTAAAGAAAGTTGAAATAGGCTCAAGACTAGTATCATGTGTTTTATTAAGTTTTTGACTGGCGCTGTGAGGCATTGTTAGACATCTTTTCTGGGAATTTGTATTCTCCTTTCCCAATCCCTCAATCAACCAGCCAAGTGATTAAAAAAGCTGAAAAAAAAAAAGAAAGAAAGAATGAACATTGAGGCATAAACCTTCAGGTTTACATTTTTCTTGAATGAAGCAAATTCTAAGTTGATTTAGTATGAAAAAAGACTAGGCTTCGAGGTTTCCTTCTTTAGATGTACCAAGTACAGTTACATCACTTTGCTTTAAAGATTAACGGAAAAAGAAAAAAGAAAACATTAAATGGAGGATTTTTTACCATTTATTTGAAAGGGAGAAATCTTGAACATTATACAGGGAAGATGTTATGTATGTGTGTACTACCTGTTAAACCTTACTTTAGGTTCAATTATCTTTGAGATTTTCCTGGCCAAAAGATTATATACTACTCAAAATATGACCAAGGCAGGCATCAGGATTTTGATTAGTTGCTGAACATGTTGACTGATTGTTATTCTGTTTATCCACAAAGCTAATGCAGTCAAGGCTACATGTCAGTGTAGGGTGAAAAAATGCAATAGACTAAGTTTTAACAAAACTTAACCAGTGATGAGTTCAGACATGTGAAGAAATTATTTTAGGGATTTCCATAAGTTGTGATTTTGGTGAGTCCAATATCAGTTTAATATTGTCTTTGAAACCATGGAACTTGCTTAAATAGTGACATTGGTGTAGAGTTTGATCTAAGTCACCATAACTCAATCAATGACATGACCAAATTTGATCAGTTCTAGGTCCCTTCCCGAAAAGGAACTCCCACATCCTTGATGGAATGATAAGAATTTGGAAACCTAAATCATTTTACACTATTTAATACTGCTCTATCTTTGCAACAGTAAAATTGAGTCTGTGTATCCACTTTGATCTTAGGTAATTTCTTCCTGGTGTTAATGTATGTCTAGCTTTGCTGGTGATGGAACCATGAGTGACCGAAGGTTATCTCACCTTGTTTTTTCAGTATAGTTTGTTTGATAAAAAGTTGAAACAACTTTTGTGTTTTTTTAGATGTAAAGATCCAAACTTTTTTCTGGCTACTTATTCTCATGAATCTATTGCTTTCCAAGGCTTATGAGTTGCTGACACTTACCTTTCACAGGAGTACTTTGACACCCTACGAACTGAGTTTAGAAGTGAAGTTGAACTACTGGCCAAAATTGATCATCGGAATCTGGTCAAGTTACTTGGTTATGTTGATAGAGGAAATGAGCGCCTTATTATTACAGAATATGTACCAAATGGTACTCTAAGAGAACATCTGGATGGTAAAGAATTTTGACTCTTAAACCATTAGCATTATGCAAAATGAGGAAAATGACCAACTGATGGTCCGTAATATATCTTGCAGGTCTACGAGGCAAAACCTTGGACTTCAATCAGCGACTTGAGATTTCTATTGATGTTGCTCATGCCTTGACGTATCTGCATCTGTATGCAGGTGACTACCTTATATATCTATATAGCCGATTCACTTCCTACTTACTGCACAAAATCTCATTGAAGGATAATACTCAACTTGGAACTTTAGGAACCAGTCGAAAAAAAAGCATCTAAATTTGAAGGGCTTCTTGTTTTTGCTAAAAAATGCCAATTTTTAGCATACTGTTATAGAAATTATCAATAAGTAAAACTTTTTACGAGCTGACCCACTTGAGATCTCCAAATAGATGATAAGCTAAATAGTGCATAATCTGGACCAAGGAAACATCCACCCTAAGCAGCAACAAAATCGTGCTTCAATGCTCTTTTCTTTTATCAAAGGAGAAGACAACCTTTAGGTTTCTCTTGCAATTAGTTGTCACAATGGCATTATTTTGTAGATTAATGTTATGAGGATCTTAAACTGCATCGTACGAAATTAAAGCAGTTTACTGGTTTCTATTGAAGACACTCTTACAGTTAACCATACTGGTTAGTCTATCGTGTTAAATGCTGATATTCACTTTAACATTTTCTAATTCCATTTCGAAAGCCTTTTGCTATTTCAAATGTGCTTCTCCTATCATTCTGCTTTTTGAGTATTTGGTGGAAAGACATGATCATAATTGTTGACTTTGCTGCAGAGAAGCAAATAATCCACAGAGATGTGAAGTCATCCAATATTCTTCTGACTGAAAGCATGAGAGCCAAAGTTGCCGATTTTGGATTTGCAAGGCAAGGAGAGATGGACTCTGATAAAACACATGTTTCGACTAAAGTTAAAGGAACAGTTGGTTACTTGGATCCAGAATATATGAAGACTTATCAACTCACATCGAAGAGTGATGTATACTCATTCGGGATTCTGTTAATAGAAATTTTATCAGGTCGTCGTCCAGTGGAGTTGAAAAAACCTGCTGAAGAGAGGGTGACAATTAGATGGGTATGTTTCTTTTCCTCGTCTTTTTGACAACAATTTGACTTGGCTGCCAAGACTTTAAAAGCTATTTCACTTGGCTAGCTAGTTTTACTCTTAACATTTATGGCTTGTGCACTTCCCATGTACCTAATCGCATGCGTTCTTGAAAGGCCAAGGGATCTGTCTGGAGTAAATTTGCTTAAGAGTCTGTATTAAAACAATGGTGTTTGTCTTGGAAGTCTTCCTGTATGATTTAATATCATATGGTAGTCATAAGTTCCTCCTGTCAGGTTCATGAACATCCACGTACCAATCAGTAGGTATTGTTTTCAACTGGGACTTGGATTAGTAGGTGAAGACTAAAAGGGAAAAACAAAGCAGAAAGGGAATAAAATGCATAAGATCAATCTAGTGAGCTGCTTGGTTTGCATCATCAATGTCAAAGGAATTTTTAGTTGCTATCTTGCTGATCCTCCTGTTCTGAGACAGTACTTCTTATGCTACATTTTGTTTGAATTCTTCGGCAATGATCAAAATGCATTGTGTTGAACATCTCTGCAGTTTTTCATTGAGATCTATTCTGTCCCATGCTATGCGTATAACTGTGCTACGTTTGATGGCCTTTCTCAGTCAAGGAACTTTAGTAGTCAAATTTGTGGAATTACTAAGTCAAAAATTTTTTTTTTTTGAGTGTAAGTGGGAGGACTCAAACCCAGGATCTCTCACTTACACTCCCTCCCCACCAACCCACCAACCACCCAACCCATAATGATTTCTTAGGCAGAAAGACCTAGTGAATATGGCCCTAATTTTCCACAAGCAAATAACAGCTCCATGCTCTTTCCTGCCTCATTGGATTTGATCAGAATTAAGAGACCACTGTCTAATGACTTCTTGGTCATTTGTTGGGCTGGCATCATTCAAGAGTCCAAGTTTCAGTGCTTCCTGTCACATTAAATGTTCTGATTTTACAGCATATATCTTCCAAAAATACATTAGTTGGAGACATTAATTTAGTTCTGTTTGTAGATAGATAGTTGATAGCTGCTGACTCTCTGTTAGAAGGGGCAAAGTGAACTGATTTTATGATGATGAAAATTCTGTACCCTTTTTGTAAATTTGAAATAGCATAGTGGTAGGAATAAGTGCAAGATTGAGTCGAAGTCTGTAATGTTTGATGAGTTATGCCGTGACTAATGTAAATGTGCAACAATTGATTACTGAACATATGTGTGTGTGTGTGTGTGTGTGTGTATTTGAGGATTATCCAGTTGCTTGCCCTTACTTTTCCTGGTCGGATGGAACTTAGGGTGATAAGTCTGTTGAGCGTGCATATCAGTCTGTTGAATTACCTTTGAGTGCTTTGAGGCTTCGGTAAAAGTGGCAAGTTAGCTTTTAATTCTTAAAAATTAAAATCTCAACCAGATTTGGATTGTTTACAACACCTCTCCCGTTGTGTGCATGCAGGCTTTTGGCAAGTATAGTGAAGGAAATGTTTATGACATGCTCGACCATCAAATGCATGAAACAATAGACAGGGAGATACTAGTGAAGATGTTTGGTTTAGCTATCCAGTGCGCAGCACCTACACGAGCTGATCGTCCAGACATGAAGGTAGTGGGAGAGGAATTGTGGGCAATTAGAATGGACTACATGAGAAGGGGAAGGAGGGAGTGACTTGGAAGTTTGTAGTGGCTTTTTATGTTGATGCTGTATAGAAAAACCCTGTTTTGACAATTTTCTGTTGGCCTTTATTTTCGTCAATTCCACGTTTTTCGCTTATGATAATGATCCGTTGCCTCATACTTGGTGCTCGTCAATTGTGTAGATGCATTTGTATTAGCTTTTGGCTTTGCGTCACTCACGGTACCCTATTCGAAAGGATGATAGCTGTTAACGACTGCAATACTTGAATGAATTACATCGTTAGTACAGAACATTGCTCTTCGGAACAAATTGCAGAACACTTGCATAATTCGTTGTCCCATTGTTTCGTTTTCTTTTGCTTCGGATTTAGAACCGTGAAAGATTGAATGGATGCAAGCAAGGCGGACTACCTATTGGCTTGATCAGTGTATGATTGATCCTTGTAATGAACGTGGTGCGGATGGAGGAAATGAAGCTACGGAGACCCTCAGGGAGTGGAAACCCACGTAAATGTGGATGGGATGTCAGCCATTTTTCAGAGCCTTTCTTTATTCCCATCCCAGTTTCTCTGCTGCATATTGCATCCCTGTAGCTACTAGTTTGAAAATGGTTTAAGAATGAGCTCAAGTATGATACTACTAGAGTAAATAATCAGTACGAATCAATCGGGTGAAAGGATGTTCAAATTTGGTTTTCAAAGCAAAGCCCTGTGTGTACATAAAAAGACCAAGAAAATGCGTTTACGGCTTAATATATTGAGAAGGGAAAACGTATGACAGATGCTTTAAAGCAATGTTCTGCTTCACACAAGTTAAGTGACTGATCAGGTGATCATTTTGAACAAGTAATCAAACAATTCAGACCTTATCTATAAATTAACCTGCCAACATTACTCTGTGAGTAGTCTTCCCGCAATCAAGATTCAAGAATGAAGATGGGGTATTCCAAGTGGTTGTTTGCAACTGCATTCCTCCTCCTCCTGCTGCTGGCGCTGGCCATTGCCCATGACACAGGTCTGGACATCTCCATTTTTTCTTGTTCTGTCTCATTCGGGTGAAATTATAATATTCTACGCAACCTTTTGACTTGTGCATATTGAGCAGGAACCTACTACAGTAATTGTGCACTTATACGACACCCTTTAATCCGGGGACAGGAAGAAAAGATATTTCATAGTTGTAGCTTAATTGTGCGTGTATTTCTTTCGGAAATCTATCGAGGATGAATCTCCTAAAATTTCTTCACTCGAGCCACAAAAAAAAATTTTTTTTTTCTTCTTTACACAAACGGGTCTAAAATAGCCAGATTAGACCATGTACGGAGTTCTTTGTATGAAAAGATTGATCGTTTTAAACATCTCTTGAAGCCATTAACTACTGCAGAGATGGGTCCAGTATTGTGTGGAGATACAGGAAACGAAAAGGGTCCAAGTAGAAGGAAGGCCGCGGCTGTGGCGGCAATAGAAAGGACGTGTGAGACACCGAGCAAGCGGTTCAAGGGACCTTGCGTAAAGGAGAGCAACTGCGCCGCCGTGTGCCAGACCGAAGGGTTTCAGGGAGGGAAATGCAGGGGCCTCCGCCGACGCTGTTTCTGCACCAGACCTTGTTTGTCATCTTAAACCATCGAGACTGCAGCTTGTGTTCGTGACTACGTAAAATAATAATAACTACTACTACATACAGATAGATATGACCCTCTTGGAATATGCATTCTATCAAGAAGAAGAATATTCACAAAATCATCATCAATCAGTACAAGAAGAAATCTTAAGATTGAAGTATTAGATACTGAGCTAAGGAGGGAAAAAACAAAAGTTGCCATACTGAGCAGATTAGTTAATCATAAAATATACTACACGGTTACATAATTGGCCCAAACGACTTTTGCTGTTGCTGTTGGACGGAAATTGGAGACTCAATAAAGCTTTCTACTTACTTTGCATTATTCACGGATCCATCAAGACTATTCGTACATTTCAGTATTTTTGTCCTGTCCTTTACAATCGAAGGACGTTTTATCTTCTGTTTGGTACAGGGGCTTGTTTATTTCCTTGCCCGTTGAATTCTCTCACAATATTTCACAACGATCAGCCTAAAGAAAAGAAAACGATCATTTAGCTAAGCTGAGCTTGAGTATGGAACCAGAAGAAAGAGTCCTCACGAGACCGCCGGATTCTTTGAGAAATTTGTTAGCTTTTGATGTAATGGCGTTACCACACCCAGGGCCTTGAGCCCTCTTTTCAAACCGCAGACAAAAAATAAAAAAAAAAACTGGAGGACGACAATTCTGCATCTGCTTTTCAACATGCTCTAAAACTCTTGTTCCCTTTGGTCCGGCAGTTAAAGTAAACAATAATTATATTTTGTGCTCAAGTGATATTTGTACAGTTTATGGACGATAGAGACGATGATGCAGAAGAAGACATAAATTTGAACTGGCCATGCTAAGGAGGGTTATCTCTTTGGGCGGGCTCAAGGGATATCTATCCCGACTAATTTTCCTTTGCTTTCTCTTTTGCATTTAGCTTTTAATGTTCTGTACCAAAGGGATGAGACAACACATTGACCAGGCATCTCCTGAGTCCTGCCCTTTGATCATGCAAGTGCTACTCGCCACCTTATTCAGTCCGTTTGATGAATCTGAATTTAAAATCTAAACACTACTGAAACAGCTAATGTGCTGAATTTTAAGCACGAAAAAGAAAATTCGATTGAGTGCTTAGTAAGTTGAATTGTACAGTATCCTAATTCGATTTCCCCATGCACAATTCCGCCCCGCTTACTATTATCCATTTCTCCTTTTTCACTTGCTAATGGTCATATAAATATCATCCATCCATCCATCCTGGTTTGGCAGGAGAGAGTTTTCAATGAGGGTAGTAACGTTATGAAATTATGAACAACAGTAAATGCAGTAAGAGTCGAAAAATCCTGCACGGAAGATTTTACTAGGCTCCCTAATTTTCAAGAACTGATGAAGAGTCCAGAAAGAAGGGGCCTTTAAGAAAAATCTGTCCTGACTCAATGACTCATCTTACAAGTGGTGGCGCTGTCACACTGTCCTTAGGACGAGGGGCCTGGACGGTTGTCAGAGACAACCGTCCCAGGCAGTTCACGGCTTGGATGAAACCTCAAAAATTTGTGCGGCTCAGATCACGTCTTGTAACTCGATTTTCACGCCGTGTGGGACCCACAAAAATGGTGTTTTATTTTACTCGCTGTTGTTCAATTGTTACACCTTGTACAGATGATGTTACACCATGTACAAATGATGTTACACCTTCCGGAGCGGTTGTTCTGACAACCGCTCCAGCCCCGCGTCCCTGTCCTTACTACTGCAGCAAGTAATGGCACCGCTGAAGCTACCTACCAAGCTCTCTCATTTCAAATCATGCATGCATGCATCTCTGATCTCTCTGCAACCATTTCTGCCGCCAACTGTCGGGCACGTTCTGTGGATAGATATTTTTTGACCTATTTTTTCATTTATATCAATCGTATCTGGCTACCGATCAATTGGAAGACTCGAGTACGTTATGAAACATTTCAAGCCCTATAAATAAACCAGCATAGAGAGGCTTCCTCACCCACTTTCCACGCTCCATTACGAACGAGTCCTTCCGATCTCTGTAATATGAAGAAGATGACGTATTCAATGCGCCTGTTCGCAACTGCATTCCTCCTGCTGATGCTCTTCATGTCCACAGGTCTACACCATGCCATCTCCTCCTTGTTTTTGTTATCTTTTCGATTCAACGTTCTACACATCTTTTCTGTGCTCTTATCATTTTGAGTTTGTTCCAAACCATGCATGATGAACATTATTACATCTTGGACCGACAACTTTCTTCCCTCTGATGCCTTCGCTAGCGTGGTTCTTGTTACACGTTTAAACGACCACTGTGGCTAATAATCAATCATCTCTAATTGGTTTTTTGTATCGTGATATGCTTGCGTTAAAACAGAGATGGATCCAGTGAGGGTGGCAGAGGCAAGGACGTGCGAGTCACAGAGCCACCGGTTCAAGGGAACGTGTGTAAGAAAGAGCAACTGTGCAGCTGTGTGCCAGACCGAAGGCTTTCCAGGAGGGGAGTGCAGGGGCGTCAGAAGGCGCTGTTTCTGCAGCAAACCTTGTTAGATCATCTTCTTCACTTGACTCCCCTGATCGCCTGAGATTGTTCCACACCTTTTCCACTCCGCTCTAGTAGTACTATTGTAATCCTCTAATGTCAGCCCCGAAATAAATTGCTAGTCCCTTTCAAACACGGAGCTACTTTGTTCATGGTGTTTGCTGCATATTGTTTTTGGAAATAGGTGCCACTGGATGTGCATGGCCTATTTGGTGGCAACTTTTTTTCTTTTTTTTTTTTAAAAAAAAATTTTGGTGGCGTTTGAGTTTTCTGGTAGTAGTCCATATACAAGTAGTGCGAATAATGTGAGTGGGGTTTAGTAGGATATGAGAAATGGCAACTTATTCCGAAAGAGAGTCATAACTAGAATTATTAGGAAAACTTAAGGCCCAGAGGATGCTATTCAGGGGCCTTACTGATCAACAAATTTCCAAAGGAAACTAGTTTTAAAATTCAGCCATGCTATGTCTAAATTTAAGACGGGAGGGACACATGGTGGCTCCCAGATTAGCTTGAGATCTTCTAGTTTAGACAAGTAGAGATCCTAATCCACAGATACATCTTATAATAGCAGCCTTCAGAGCTAGCTGTTATTATAAACAATAACTGCGATGAAGCAACGAGAACAGAACGTGAAAATGTGAATCGGCATGCCACATTGTCAAAACCACCGTCATTGCCAAGCAATCCGGTGACTGTTTTTTCTCACCCTCTTTGATGAATTGGCTCTTTACTTGTATCTCATATACGTCATCCTTCTCACCCTCTGCTTCTGCTTATACGCTTCCATCTAAACGGGTGAAATAATAGCATATCAACCAGACCATAACTCAACAGGTCTGGCGGCAGCAAGATTTGCCATGGACCATCTTTTAGATGATCCCTATGAATTCTCTACGTCAAAAGGAAGTCTTAGAAAAATAATATGTCATATTACCTTTCCAGACCCCGTACAGCCACAAGGGCTGCCTCGTAGCAGTGCTTTGGTAAAAAGTCGCTAAAAAATTTTACTCCAACTCGGCCACTGAAATCTCAATCTTCTCCACCTGCTCCTCAACGACAAGGGATGCACATTCAGTACGTGTTCTGGCATGAAATCATGCCTGGTCAATATCCCCACAACTGGCACTCCCTGAGAAAACAAAAAACAGCATTTAC